AGTATGACAATGAGAAAATGCATGCTTGTGCAGTCAGACTGAAGTTTTTAATCTACTGAAGAGATCTGGTTTTACCATCTGTGAGTAAGAGAGTGTGTGCAGCCTTTCTTTTGCCATTGATTATATCAAGTTAACTGCCCAAGGTCCTGCTGGCACTCTGAATGCTACTTGGCGAGGAGAAGAAGAGGTTTCTCTCTCATACGCACAATAAATAGTCCTCTCTCTCTTTCTTCTCATCGGATGCATTCACTTTGATGGTTTTCCAAAGTGTGAGTCACCGCAGACAGAAAAGCGGTTCAGTGACATTCTTCTGCGTCATTTTGTGTACTTGAGCTTGAACTCAAACAAGCAGATTTCCAAACAAACAGCAGACGTGGTCAGCAAAGCCTCATTCAAGGTTGCACTTTCACACTAACAGAAAAGCCACCGGCACACACATAACGATCACAAACACTACTTATTCCTCTCATTTGGTAGGTCTTGGGCCCTTCAGATATTTAACTTTTAGCAACCAAGTAATACCAAAGCCATGCACCCTTGCACTCCCACCTTGTCTTCTAGTGATCTGTGTATGTGTGTGTTTGCTGGGTAAAGAAGGGTGAGAAGATTGTATTGTACAGATGCTGACACATCACACCACTGCCTAGCACAATCAGGCCAGTGGCCAGACTCCCTCGGGGTAGGTGACGTTCTGCTACCAGTGGTGCTGTGTACTTGCTGTACACAGTCAGCAAGTAGGAGCTAGCAAATAATACTAAAAGTATTTATTCATTCTTGATTTGTGAATTTGGTTTTGGATGAAGCCACAGGAAGGAATTGCGTCATGTACTGGATCAGTTGTAGACTGAGACAGAACAAAACAGACTTTATGCTGAACTGATGTGGAAGAGATTTTATGATTTTTTACGGACAATATAACTATTAAAAATGCATCCAACAGTATCAGGAAGCACGGGTAGTTAAATATGGTAACAATGACAACCCAACAACATGAAAATACAAATACTAATTGATGCACAGCTGTTGCAATTGATTTGTTGATGTTTTGTCAGGCCTCAGTGACAGCAGATTGAAAGAGGGTTGGTTGTAGATGTTTTCTTTTCCTCTGCTCTCTTTTACAACCTCTCCTGCTCTCTGGCCTGCTTCCCTTTGCTCACAGCAGGCCACTGGGTCTGTTGGAGGAATCAAAGACTCTGCTCACTGCATTATATAAGAGCACTGCTGCTCGTTATCAACATCTTAACCGTCTTTTGGGCCTTTAACTTCCATAAGATGTCTATCATCTAGGGCTGAAGGCAAACTGTACCAACTAACCTCTCTTCTACTTCTTCTTCTTATTCATTAGTAGTAGTAATGTTATTTTTAGCAGCATTACCAGAAGTAACGCAGGCATGAGTAGCAAGTAGCATTTTAGCACCTCTGGTTCTCTCATTTCATAGACAAGAAAGGGTTTTTGAGTAGATAGGTAGATAAAAAAGATTTGTGGTTAACACAAGGTGAAGAGATTTTCATGTTTTGTTCTATTACATAAAATACATCAGTAAATTCCCCAACATTTGAAGCTTTTAAGTGTCTTCAAGAGGGCGGTTGCTAACAAGTGTCTAAATGAGAATACAGAGGTTGTCAGTGACATTTAACATTAGATGTATCGAACAAGCAGACATATCTACTCACTAGTCCGCCTTTACAGCCTCATTGTGTTTATGCTCACGCTCTTGCAAACTATTCCAACTCCACCTTTCCAACTTGTACATTTTAGTTACACAATTGAATTACAAGTTGGAAGTTTAGTGGTAGTGACGATGAAGTCTTGCGATGATGGTGTAGTTTGTTTAGAGCCTAATGTACTCTATAATGTGTAAAACAAAAAAACAAAAAAACAAAAACTATGATGAAAAATACTGATGATAATAATTTTAAAAGAATGGACATTGACCTGTTGCTCTAATAGGCAGCACCTTGCATTTCAAGTTAACAGTTATGTCTCTACTTGTAATGTTAGCTAATGCGTGTTTGTTGTAGTAGCAGTGGTAATAGCTGTAGTAATAATGGCACTGCAGAGTGAAATGACAGGAACCTTAGGGTGACATGTGAGCAACATGAGCTGGTGTCCCTGCACCTGTGTGCTAGTGGCAGAGTTAGCAACTGCTTGAGCCACTGAGATTTACAGTGAGAGTGTGTAGAAAGAATTCACAAACACACATTACTGCATAGCATGCTCTGAAAGTGATATAAGGTTGTTTCAGACAAGAGGCTTGAGTAGAAAATGCTCTTTATTTAAAAGTCATGACACAATCAGTGATGTGTATTTGCTTTTTAAAAAGCTAATTCTATACTGAGCTTCAAAAATTCCATTTGCCTCAACAATAGTATTTATCAGGCATTAAGTGTAGAAAGAACACCTGCTGTTCCTCTTCAGTAGTGGAGATAGGCCTACTGGAAAAAATAATTCAAATCAAATTTATGTAAAGAGAGGAAGCAAAGGAGCAGTGAGTCAGCCAGTAGAAACGCACAAGTGTATTAATGCATGAGTAATAATAAAGTAATGAGTATCCTGATACTACCCTGTGCTGACAGTTTCACTGCAGGCAGGACACGTAAGATGACCTTAACAACCAGGCTGACCCACTTGTCTGTTGGGCCGAGCGTCCCCCCAAGTTCCCAAAATGCAGAGGCCAAGACTCTTTGACCCTGACGCTTGAACCCAACAACTTCGAACTGCAGAATCACATCACTTGCAGTAGGTAGATTAGTAATTGAGAGTTATTAATAATATTGCCACGCTCAGCCTATTAATACAGTTATTTTATCACAGCAAAAAATTTCAAAACGTCATTTATTTGATCGATTTCTTATGAATATATTTTCATATAAATAATGGTATTTTTTGATGATTAACAGAAATGATTTAACTTCTACACAGCTCTTGAATACTTTTATTCCAAATGTTCACTATGTCACAGGTCTTTCCTGAAAAAGTTCTCTGAAGACAAAAATATCACAAAATAAAAGGTGTAATTAAACTAGATAAATAAATGAATACATCAAAAGTATTTCCAAAAAAGTTCAAAAAGTTTTCAGTAAGACTGTGACGAAAGACCATACTTAAGCAAAGGCACACAAAACAACTCTGTAAGGAGCTTTCCCTCATTCTGTAAACTCAAGCAGGATTATGCAACGTGTCCCTTTAACAGCGTACACACTTGACAGCAGTGACTTCAACAGATGGCCCATCTGAACTCATTCAATGAAAGCTGACACACATGCTCGCTACACATGCACATACATGCTAAATTCACCTACAGGCATTCTCACTGGGACTAGTTATGTCCTCTACATCCTGCCACTCAGTGATAACAATGTGACAGCTGTTTCTAGAGACAGCTTGACCATGATTAAATGATACTCGGAGAATGGTCTTTTAGACCTTAAACCCCTAACTAGGGATATGCTAGTACATTATTATCTGTATCTGTTCAGCCCGCTAAATTACCTGCATTCATAGCCTGTCTCCATATCTTTAATTTACTTCCACTTAACATAATAAGTTATTAACTTTTAACTCAACTTTATGAGTTATCAGTATTAAAACTCAGGTTTGCATGTCACTTCAGTTAAATGTAAATTTCAATGTGTCAACTTAACACAGTGAGTTACAATATGTTGACCGGATCTCTTTAAAACGTTTGAAACGGTGTGGCGGCAATAGTAATGCGCAGTGCAAAGAGGGAAATGGGAAATTTGGTCTTTAACTAATAATGAACTGATAAGACTGTCATAAAATTATTTTTATTTATAACAAGCGCTCCACTTTGCTGCCCTGAAAAGAAGAGGAGAAAGATCAGGGGTAGTGGTGTGCCATACCACTCATTTCGGTTCACTAACGTTACCCGGCGGAAGGATTTTACGGCGTTACTTTTTCGGTTAAGAACGGGTGAAACAAGGTGAGTGGCTGCATTTATTAAACTTCCAAACTGTCTACTTTGTAAATTAGTTGTAAAGATATAAACTGCTGTTACTTTAAAATTTATAAATGAGGGATAGTTTACTGCAGCTTGTTAATGAAAGTGTGGAGGTGTTAACGTTACAGTATTATAGGTACTTTTTACTTTT